TCGAGCCTGCAACCCGGGCATGTGCCCTGACCGGGAATCAAACCCCGATCTCCTGGATCCTACGTCGACCCTCAACCGCTGAGCCATGTCCGGCCGGGCGAAACCCCATTTATTAAATGAAAATTATTAGATTGGTGCCCATTTGGGTTGAGGGGTTGCACTAAGAATTTAAAACCTGAAGCTATGTCTAGCCGGTGTGGCTCAGTGGTTGTGCATCAACCTGTGAACCAGGAGGTCACAGTCGGATCCCCGGTCAGGGCACATGCCCCCCGTTTGTGGGCTTGATCCCCAGCAGGGGGTGTGCAGGAGGCAGCCGATCAGTGACTCTCTCAACATTGATGTCTCTCTTTCTCTCTCCCTCTCCCTTCCTCTCTGAAATCAATAAAGACGTATCTAAATAAATAAAACCTGAAGTTATGATTCTCACTTTCATCCTCCCTTTGGTTGCAGGTCAATCTGTAGCACTTCCTGTGGTTATTTATTCCTTGTTAGGAGACTTCGGTGATGAGAATTACTCCTCATAGTGTCACAGCTGAATTAAGACCAGCCTGGGAGACATAACTCCGATTACCGGCCCCCTATGTGTGCCGGGCGCTCTCACACAGGCGTCTAGTGTTTCCTAAATAAAAGCAGCACTAGCCTGCATCTCGGGCAGCACAGGCGCTTGTTAAATCTAAGATTTCCTGATGGGTGGACTCACTCTCTTAAGAAATTAAATGCATGGAGCTGCAGGTCCTGTTGGCGTTTGGTGGTTCTGTTTGGAACATTCCCTGCACTGTTCCTAAAACTAACTCTTTGGTGACATCCACTTCCTCCCGTCAGAGGGACCGTGCAGCTGATTGACAGTCACTCCAGCAGTGTGACGGCCACTGCAGCTGATTGACGGCCACTGCAGCCATGGGCGGCTGACAGGCCTTCAGCTCCCCTCCCATTATCCAAGGACACCTCCCGACCCTTGACCAGCTGCAAGGGTAGATATTGCTGTTTGGAGTCCAGTGTCATATCCAGCAGGATACAGTGGGATAAATGGTTTAGGAACCTGGATAAATAGGCCATCAAGACAAAGCTATCAGATTCCTAAATGCCAGCCCTGGATCTTGAGCAATTTTGAAAAGTTAATTATTTTATCGCTCTATTAAGAAGCTGTGGGTCCATTCTGGCATTGAGAGGGGACTAACTTGCTCCGCTTTGGAACTGAATTAGCTTTCAGGCCAGCAGGGCGCTGTGTAGTAATTTGCTTTTTCCAGTTCTAGCATGTTCCCTCCCTCGGCAGCCTGTCAGTTTCCGAGCTGGTGACCCCCAGGGAAAGACACGGGTGTTCACCCTTTTCATACGTGTAGAGACAATGCAAGACCGTTGTCTTCTAATAATCAGACAGACTCAGCCACATCACCTCTGCCGAGGGTGTATACTGGGGTGGCTGCTTTCTATTCCTTTTGAGCTTCTGATTTTTGTTTTTTAACTCTAAGTATTGGCATTGATGTTGTCATTTTAAATGTACTGAGACACAAGGAAGTTTTGAAAGGTGTTGCCGTGGACCCGTTAGGTTGCCTCCTGGCTCTCGTGGTAGGACATAAAGAGGCTGCTGTCTCAGGTCCCTGTTCCTCGGCCCTGCCTTAGTGATGACGGTCAGTCTTACATATTTCCCCAAGTGTGCTGTATTTATTTATTGTCCTCAAATAAAATAACCCCTGAGGCCATCTATTCTCTTCTGCCCTACCTCTGACCTGTGAAATTTCCTTTCCTTCTACAACGAACTTTATTTATAGTCTAACACTACTTTCCTCACTTACTCCTTAATTTCTGGGTAATTGTTCCTGGCACCATAAAATGGACAACATCATCTTTGGGGAAATGTTGGAAATTGAGAAGAGCGATGCCAGCTCCTCAGCGTCCTGCCCAGCCCCAGCCCCAGCCCCAGCCCAGGCTCTACTCAGCTTTGGTTCCCTGCAAGCCCCACAGCGCCCCCTGTCACCTGGGGGTGTGACGCGCCCCTCCTCCCACTAGGGAACCCCTCTGTCACCCCACCTTGCCTTACCACATTTTTTCAGTCCCTTTACTCAATGACATCTTCCATGTGGTTCCCTTTTCTTCCAGGGACACGGGGCATCATTGATTTGGAGTGTTTGTGACCCGGGTATTAGATATTTTTAGCTTTCAGATGAGCAGGAAGCTGATGGGCGATAACAGATACCACATTAGCGTGTTGTTCCGCAGTCCTCCGTGTGAACCCAGGTCAAAACAAAAGGAACTGGATTTAAATTGTAGCACAATAGAGGTATTTTTTATACCCAAACAGTTCAACACCAGAATGGATTCTTAATGGAGGATCTGTCTTTTCACTCCTGAGGGTGTTTACAGGAAGGCAAAAATAAAGACACAGTTAAGGCCTGAAGCAAAACCCCGAGCTTCAGTCTAGGAAAACGCGTGGGGAGGTGCCTCCCAGCACAGGCTCACGCCTTCTCTGTGTTTGTAAGTGGGACTCGGAAGGACCCGCCCCCCGCTCCCCATCACATCACCTGAGCCAAGCCCCGGACAAGGCGTGAAAGGCACCTTGGAGCCCGGGTTACTTCTGTCTTCCGATCGGTAATGAGACAGCGTCTTCCTCTCCGTGCCAGGCACTGCCCTTTAACGTTTTGAACTTGGGCTAAAGAAATGAGACCTCCATTTGCACATCAGCGAGAAAGAGGCACGTGTCCCCTTGCAGGTGGGTGGCGTGGCCTCGGAGGAGGTCACGTCAGGCCTGTGGCAAACCCTCAGCCCTGGGACAAGGGCAGCATGCCTGTGGAAGGCCTGGGCAGTCTGGTCCCCTCGACCTCTGCCATCTCTTTCTCCTCCAACCACAGGTCCCGCCCTCCCTCTTGCACCAGTGACGGGGGCAGTTGGCATCTGGAAGAAGTTCGCTGATGATGGAGTGGGACTGGGGAGGGACCAGCCCTTCTGGCACCTCCTCCAGATTTCCAGAGACCAATCGGGCTTAAGCCAAAAGTTACAGCTGTACTAGTTTTAATATTGAATAGTTGTGTTTCTGGTCAACCAAGATGCGTAAAAGTGAGACACGCCAGTAAGTGAGAAACCCACAGAGAGTGCAGTGACATGACACCCCACAGCAGGCTGTGTCTTCCTGTCACGTTTCTAGCTTGTAACCTGGACATGACCATATGAGTTCAATTGATAATAAAGAACATATATTTTTGAATAGTGGGGAAAGGTTCTTTGAGAAACAGAGATGCTACCTTCCCAAACAATGCTATTTACTTATTTTAGAAGGTATAATTTAATTTTAATTATTTATAAAGCTACTTAGTACTTTAGTAAATGTACCACCATGTGTTTTGTTCAGCTAATGGTATCTTAGTAAAAAAGACACCATTGTTTTCAAACCCGAGATATTGAATCTTTGTCATGAATCATGCCAAGGCTGCTGGGGATTTTATGAGAATTGCTGGATATCGTGGTGGTGAGGCCTTTCAGGATGCCCCTGGAAGTTTTATTCCAAATATGCACGTAGAGAGGGCACCTGCACGTCCGCCTTTCCTGGGTGAGAAAATGGCTTCCATGTGAACTAGTCAAGATCTTAAATGATATTTAGAAATAGAACCATGAAACAATTTTTTGCCTTAACTCAAATCTCCCAGATTCTGCCATACTTTTCTTCCAGACGGTTGCCACGGCGATCTTTTCTACACCACTGAGCCCATTTCTCGGCAGCGTCATTTTCATCACGTCCTATGTCAGGCCAGTGAAGTTCTGGGAAAAAAGCTACAAGTAAGACGCTAAACTTGCTGCTGACTTGCTGCGCTAAGATTTGTGCTTCAGGAGGCCCCAACCTTCCTCTTCGCCCAGGTCGGGGCCCCTTGCTTTGCTCTGCTGGGTGGGTGGGGGTTAAGCATGTGTCTAGCAGGTGGCTCCCCAGCCCAGGGGCTCACTCAGCACAGGGGCTCTGGGGCTCCTGGTGAAACACGGCTGATGGCACGTCTGCCGCTGGGAGCTCCCACGTCTCGCCAGCGTGGAGGAGAGTTTCCCTGTGAATGTGCGTCGCTGCCTCCGGGGAAGGTGGTCTGAGGCCATTGTCATGCCATCCGATGTGCAGGAACAGCCCCTGGATGGCACATGTTCCCTCGGGGAGCATGCCAGAGGTGTCACGTGCTTGTGTACTTGTGTGCACGCATTGCCGCAGCTCCACCAAGAGCAGCGCTTTTCTGAGCACCACTAACTGGTGGGACGGGGTTTGTGTGCGCCGTCTCGACCCTTTGGACTGGACACCGGACGGCTCCTCAGGTGGACGGGTGGAGCGGGGCAGCTGTTTCTTAAGGGGAGATGAGGAGAGGAGTGTTCACTATGTGACTTTCAAGAACTTTAAATAATGTGCGGGGAGGGGTCTGAGAGCAGCTGCAGGTTCCACTGAGGCCGGGGCGTCGCTCGTGTGCAGGGCAGGACCCCCTCTCCGATTGCCTTGGCCCTGAGTCTCTGGCCATGCCTGTGCAGGGCCAGAGACCCGAGTCCATCTCCGGTAGGACGTCCCCATTTTGCATGACTCTGGCCCTTTACAGTGTGCCCTTATGTCGCACAGAAGCCAGCATTATGTCGGGACATCTGTGACTCTGTTTCTCCATCGGGTGGTTTATGTGGTTGTAAAACGAGCATCGTTCTGGGACAGACAATAGGGCCACCAGCCCCCGGGCTCACACCTCACCACTACCACTCAATGCTGGGTCACCTCAGGCTTCGCTCTCCTCTTCTGTAAAATGGGCCAACAATAGGGGAGGGTGTGAGTTCATATAAGTAAAGTGCCTGGACCAGGGTCTGGCACAAAGGAAATGCCACGTGAGCCTGCGGTGGCCCGATTCCACCCTGACCTCTGCATAGGAGCCTCTGTCCCCATGTGGCACAGCTGACAGCTGTCGTCATGACTGTGTCCATCCCATCCCTGCGAGCTCACATGTAGGGGGCCGTGGGAAAGGGACCCAAACCAGAGTGCCATGGCAGCCAGTGCTGGGACAGCAAGGAGGTCGGGGGCCCCGTGTTCCTGGCAGGTCCCTGATATTCTCGGAGTGGTGGGCATTTTGCAGGACAAGGGAATTTGTCTTGAATTTTACACATAAAGAAGAGTCCCCTCTGCGTTTGTCTAAAGGGACCTCATGCATGTTTCCCGAGCCAGAGGATGAGAATGAACCGCCAGCGCTGGCCTGTCTTTAAGCTCTGTCGGGAGAAACAGTTTGGGGGCCTTTTGGAGCTCGGAACACCAGGCCTCTGGACGGTGCAAACGCTGTAAACAGGACGAGTGGCGTCGGCTCTTAGCAGTGGGAAAGTGCTTGGTATTTTAGCTCGATACACAATACAGTAGATTTCTCTGTCCCCTGTTCTCTTTTTTTTCTTTTTTTTCTTCTTTATTGATTTCAGAGAGAGGAAAGGAGAGGGAGGGAGAGAGAGAAACATCGATGATGAGAGAGTCATTGATCAGCTGCCTCCTGCATGCCCCCCACTGGGGATCGAGCCCGCAACCCGGGCATGTGCCCTGACCGGGAATTGAACCCCGATCGCCTGGATCCTAGGTCGACGCTCAACCGCTGGGCCACGCCAGCCGGGCTCTGTCCCCTGTTCTCAGACGGGTTGGGAACAGATCTTTCTGGCCCAGGAGGACTTGGCATAAGCAACGCACATCCCCGCTGAGCTGGGAAGAGTTTAGCTGCCCGGGTAGAAGGGAAGGGAAGGGTTTTGTGGGAGGTTTGCTGTAGGGAGGCGCCTGCGCACCTGCAGCTCGGGACGTGCCCCCTGGCTCAGCCCCTCCCCGAGCCCAGCCCGCACTGCAGGGCGGACTCCGCGTGGCTGTGGGCACTTGGCGTCGGCTTCCAGGGCAGGGCCTGTTTCTTCACTCAGCCTCACGGAGAGTCGGCTCTGCTGTGGGCCTCCGTGGAGCCGCCTGTTCCGTGTGGGAGGGGCCCCCTCTGGGCGGCCTGTCCGTGGGTGGGTGGCTGTGGGTGTGTCCAGCCGCGACCAGGTCTCAACAAAGGAGCCAAGGTGGACAAAATGTTTAGTCCACTGAGGGGGGACGTTCCTGAACGCAGTCAGCGGAAGGCCTGCTGTCACCTGTGTTAAGCATGGGAATACAGAGTCCCCTCTGCTTAGATCAGCGATGGAATCCAGAGCCCGGGAGGGTTGGGTACCAGGGAAGGAACGGCAGGAAATCTCATCTGGATGCCCGAGAAGGCTCTGGAAGGCTCGTTCTGTCTCAAACTGTTTTATTTCAAATGCAGTAACTTTTGCTGTGCTTACTTGAGACTGAGTAGCTGGCCTCACCACCTTTATTTCAGTTTGATGCAAAGAAGCAGTTGGTGACTGTCATTGATTCTTTTCAATTGTTCACTAGTTGTCCCATCACTTTAAAAGGCCGGCTGAAAGACTCCTCTGGCGCCTTGCGAGCACATGCCCACGGGTGGCGAGGACACTTACGTGGTCCCCTCTCCTGGGCCTCCCCGNACGGGTTGGGAACAGATCTTTCTGGCCCAGGAGGACTTGGCATAAGCAACGCACATCCCCGCTGAGCTGGGAAGAGTTTAGCTGCCCGGGTAGAAGGGAAGGGAAGGGTTTTGTGGGAGGTTTGCTGTAGGGAGGCGCCTGCGCACCTGCAGCTCGGGACGTGCCCCCTGGCTCAGCCCCTCCCCGAGCCCAGCCCGCACTGCAGGGCGGACTCCGCGTGGCTGTGGGCACTTGGCGTCGGCTTCCAGGGCAGGGCCTGTTTCTTCACTCAGCCTCACGGAGAGTCGGCTCTGCTGTGGGCCTCCGTGGAGCCGCCTGTTCCGTGTGGGAGGGGCCCCCTCTGGGCGGCCTGTCCGTGGGTGGGTGGCTGTGGGTGTGTCCAGCCGCGACCAGGTCTCAACAAAGGAGCCAAGGTGGACAAAATGTTTAGTCCACTGAGGGGGGACGTTCCTGAACGCAGTCAGCGGAAGGCCTGCTGTCACCTGTGTTAAGCATGGGAATACAGAGTCCCCTCTGCTTAGATCAGCGATGGAATCCAGAGCCCGGGAGGGTTGGGTACCAGGGAAGGAGCGGCAGGAAATCTCATCTGGATGCCCGAGAAGGCTCTGGAAGGCTCGTTCTGTCTCAAACTGTTTTATTTCAAATGCAGTAACTTTTGCTGTGCTTACTTGAGACTGAGTAGCTGGCCTCACCACCTTTATTTCAGTTTGATGCAAAGAAGCAGTTGGTGACTGTCATTGATTCTTTTCAATTGTTCACTAGTTGTCCCATCACTTTAAAAGGCCGGCTGAAAGACTCCTCTGGCGCCTTGCGAGCACATGCCCACGGGTGGCGAGGACACTTACGTGGTCCCCTCTCCTGGGCCTCCCCGCCGTCTCCCTCCCTTTTCAGTCCTCTGGTTTTTCCTTCAGGCTTTGAAAGCTGGCTCTGGGTTTTGCAGGCCTCCCGTGAGCCCTCCACTGTAATGAAACTGTCTTAATACTCCGAGGAGCTGATAAGTGAATCAGCAGCTACCTATAACCAGGGCCCGTCGCTTCCCAGCGTGGGCTGTCAAAATCTGCAGGCTTTCCGGTTCCCCGGAGCTGCTCCTCCCTGGGGCAGACGACACACGTGTCATCTCCCCCCTAACTGACCTGCTGTCTAGCGCTCTCGCGGGGCCAGGCTATGTCCTGCCTCAGCAGCCCAGAGGCTGCCAGATTGGACAGCACAGACGTGGACCCTCCTCAGTCTGGGTCTCGCCTCCCGGCGTCTCTCACTCAGCGCTGTTTGGTATCACACGCGTTCTGTGGGTGTTTCTGGATGCGCCCTGCCTCCAACTCATCCCACCCACACCCCCCACGGGCAGAGGGAGAGGGTTATACTGCACCTCCTGATGGATGAGAGGTGAGGTTCAGGGGGACTTGCAGGTGGAGAGGGACCATTGGAGTCACCTTTGGAAAATAATTTTGCTCTGTGGCCATCAGCGAATTCTCCCCAGGGTTGGGTGGAGACGGTATTTGCCTCCAGGCCTGGGCTTATTTCTCACCTTTGTGCCTCTGAGCGTGCACATAGTAGGTGTTCTATAACTGTTTCTTAAATGAATTGAGTCCAACAGTATTGTGTAGACGGGAAGGGAATCTCAGGCTGGGTTTCGTTCGCCATTGTTAGGAAGTTCACTTAAGCCGATGTTCTCCTGACAAGTGAGGGCTTTAAGCTCCGCCTTGACGAGCTCTGCCCGGTGCCCCGTTAACTCGCAGGCGGCGAGAGCGAACGCGCTGCAGACAGTGCCCTTGTTTATAAACCCCTCGTGTCCGAGCGCTTTAAAGAGCTTTAGAATCACGTTCCGATGATTCATCGTCCTTCCCTTTACATATAAACAGTCACTAAATAACCAAACTTTGTCATTAAGATGAAACACATGTTGAGGTTAGAAAGTATTTGACTCATGTCCCTGGAACCCCGGACGATGTCTTGCTTCCGAAGGAGGTAACTGTCTTCGGCCCTAAAGAATGGAAGTTCCGCTGACATTGACTTTGTAAAGTCTACAGCACCGTTGCTGTAAGAAGACACAGGGCAGCCGCCTGAAAGGCAAGAGCAGCTTTCACGGTTTCTGCCGCGTTCTCCAGGTTGTTTTTAAGACGCTAAATCGCTTCAGGCATCATCCCGTCAGCAGATACACTCGGAGCATCTCTGAGGGCCCCGGGCCAGGCGCTGACCAGAGGAATCAGCCTGTGTCTCTGGGCTGCATGCGGAGCCCTCGGCCCCACCCCCGACCGACGGCAGGAAGACCGTCAGTGCTTCCTCCTCAG